CTCTCTATCCCTCACACGCGGCTCTGACGGTGGTGAGGCCAGCGCAGATCCAAGTTGCGATCGGACGCCCGTGCTCCACTGTCCGAAGGACCTCGAGCTTCGGTGCCAACGGGGGAAAGTCCAAGACCGCTCAACATCTGTCAACCGAACAAGCGCCGGCCTCGCTCAACCCCGTGGTGCCTTCCCCTGTTTGCGCTGCAGGGCGCCATCGTTTTCAGAGAGTTGGAAGCGGTCGGCGGGCGGGGATGGGGTGCGGTGTGCTGGTCGGGGTGGGGTGAGTGTTGGCGGACAAGGGGTGTGTTGACCATTTTTGACTCTACATTGACTGTTTTCGACTGGTGTGGAGAGAATTCCCATGTTGACCGCCATGGCGGTCAATTGGGTGGCCGGCAACCGGTGGTTTGGGGATTCCGGCGGAAGCTGCGTGGGATGCGCGGCAATGCGGTACATTGTGGCAATACCCCATGCGGTTACATAACATGCATTTTTTTATTGCAAACAGTACATTATGTTTCAATGTCCACTGGTTGCATACCACGCGGCATATGGTGTGGTTCTCACAGAACAGTTGACGGACAATGCTCTGCTCGGGCGAAACATGTAGCTGATGGCTGCCTCCACACCTCGGTAAGTAAGGTTTCTTGATGAGAAGGAGCAATGCCGGTGTTGAGGATGCTGGGAAGCCAGCAAGAGATTGGCGTTGCGATCCTTGTTGGGCTGAAGGAGCGGTCTGCTCGCTAGGTGGTGCCCTTTTGCATTTGTCAAAGGCGCGTGGGACAACGAGGCCCTTGCGCCTAGGGAGGCGATGACATCCTTCTGAAGCCTACCGACTGAGTCATTGGGTAGTGCACACCCACAAACGTCCAGGCAGAATAATTGTAGAGTAATTTTGCATAATTTTCGCGCTATTTTAGCTGTAGTGGATTGTCCTTGCCCTGTAGTGCGGTAGTACTGGATGGTTTCGGTCAGCACTTCAGTGACGCAGGAGATGTGTTTGGAGAGGGCTTTAGAATATCAAGCAAGGGCGTCGCCATGCACAGTAGATCTGTGCTAAACCTGGGCTTCAGGTCGAAATATCTTTGGCATACTCACCAGTGTCAAGTACCCAAAGGGCCTCAAGAGGGAAACTGCAACAGCAACACCATTTCTGCAGTGAATTTGTTGCTTCCAGAAGTTGAGCCCACGAAAAGGGCCATTCGGATGTTGTTCCATGCGCAGCGTTGGTGAGCACCCAAATTCGAGTGCCTGCATTCTCTTCGCAACTCGTCACCAAAGCATTCTACCTCCGTTCCAAAATTAATGTCGCATATTGAATTCTTGTTGTAACTTTGTAAGTTCAACCCAATCAATCAATCCATCACCAGGTTCAAAATCCTTGGTCGATTTTGGGTTAATGTGAACCTTGGTTACATTAGTCATCGCCATGCAGCAAGAAATCCACAGCCCCATCAAAGTGTTCCTGTTAATCTCCACCAGGGCCTCAATTCCCCATATTTTTGTGCTCACCTTATCCCCATGTGAGCCAGCCTATTTCTCCATTCATGACCCCATTATTTATGTACTCTTTGGTCGGCGACAAATAGGTACTACTACAACCTTTCAAGAGTTTTGGCAACATTCCAATCATGCTATTTGTGGACCATCTCTTCTGCTATGCCGAATCACGTCTTCGAAATTCTCAATTTCAGCGATTGGCCATATTGGCACCAATCTAGACCATTTTCAAAACTCCAAATTGGAGACAGCATCAGCATGCATGGCCTTCCTATGCTTCGTGTGTCAGCTGGATCGAGCTCTTGCACTAATCTAGGTGTCTCTTGGCCTTTGGCCACAACATACCCACAGCTCCTGTTGACGACCAAAGCATCTGCAGCAACCCAACATCGTTTGCCCTGTGGGTTTTAGCATGAATTTAGCGGAATCTTCAATGAATACCAGGCCACCAGGTCCATCTTTCCTAGAAACAACTCAGCTCGATCCACCTTCTCCGAAGGGCGAGAGGAGCATGCCACACTCTTCTCAAGGTCCCGACAAAATAAAAAATGGCGCTTCAGCTCTTCTTAGCATATCACGAGAATGGCGGCGCCGTTTGCCACGTTCAAGGGCGCTGCAGAAAGCTCTTGATACGACGCGTCAAAGTTGTTGCGGTCAATTTTCTGACTCGCACGTAAGTTTGCAGCGCACTTTCAAAATTTGCAAGTCAATCCATCAAGAATTGAGGATTTGGCAGTGCTTTGTTTCAAAGGTCCTTTCACCTAGTAAACCTCGATATCCGAGGTCGCAAATGACCAAAATTCACCTTTTGCCTAATGCTCAGAGGGGTCGTGCCTTCTTATTGAAAATTGGAAGTTCGTTCGGGGATTTGGAACTTGATCTTTCCGACCTTCACTTGTTTTGTAATTTTGAGGCCGTCCTTGTAACAGATTCTGTCTTTCAAATAGACGACAATTAATCTCGGACACAGGAAGTACATATCAAGGCCAGGTGGTCGCCATCAGCTTCCTTCCATCAGGCAACCAACAAATCAATCAATCACGAAATGCCAGTAACCAAGGCAATGCAGTGGCCGTCAGCTCCTCAGTTCGCCCTGGGAACCGCTGTGCTGCGTTTCAGCCGCCAGGTGCGAGGAGAAATGCCTGCAGCAGACCGTCCACTGCTCGCCGGACCAGGTATCCGCACAGGTCGCACGAGCCACGAGCCACTTCCAGCCATTACTCAAATAATTGCGGACAACACCACTGCGGTAGCGACCTTGGGCAGAAGGGCGCGCCTGGTGTCTGCTCGCCGCAAATGCACTCTAAGAACCGCTGCTGCGCGCAGTACTGCAGCCTTTGCCGTCTCGTTGAAGGGAACTGGTCTCTGCCTGAAAAGGCTACTGTGATCCAAGAGGAATTCGACCGCCAGCAACGTGCATCAGTGGCCGTGGCACGGAGGTCTGCCGTACATGGTATACAGTCCAAGCAGTTGGGTCTGGAGCTGCTTGATCACGTGTACGCATACCCAGTGACACCAGAACTTCTGGAAGATTCCTGGGCAAGGGCCGCAGCGCTGCAGATGGTATCTAAGGGGGAACCTGCGAAGCAGCCGAGAAGGGCGTCCACAACATGCCCACGAAACCACAGGAAATCATCCTATGTAATAATGGCAGGAACAACAATTGCAGCAAATCACAGCAAAGTAGTACTTCAGAAGTATCCAGTTGAAGTAATAATCACGGCAAATCACACTGGATCACATGGAACCCCAGCACGCACACATCATCCCCTTTGGGAAAATGCCACACGAAGTGCCACAAGGGGAGCGCAGAATCACAGCTGACACAAACATGCACGCTCTTTCTGGGTATTGCTAGGGATAAGGTGCCTTCATTGTCTCCCATTCTTGACACTACTTGATCCCTGATGCTTGGGGCACAACGACCAACGATAATTGCCAACACTGGGGATTTGATGCTGGGGTGTACTTCCTTTCTTCATTGCTTCTGAACGATGGGCAGCAAGGAATGGTGAACGTACAGTCAGCAGTTTGAACAACCCCTGGAAATGCTCCAGGGACCTTGTCTCTTGATCTACAAGGCCATGCAAAGGCAATTTATGAAATATGCCTGCTCACATCCCTTTACTCATTTTCGCTCCCAATCACAAGATGCAAAGCACATGCCTGAATGCATTGCAAGTCAATGTATGCTTTGATGAGACTGTAAATTGCAGGTCCCAAGCCGCAATAGGCAATAGAGGCTTGCTCCATCCCAGAGAGCTTTTCGACCAACTTGCTTACCAAGACTCCTTGCTGACTCCTGCACAAACTCAGCAAGGCTCTTCATGGATTCCTTAGTCACCGCATTCCCCCCTCCCTCAATTTGGATGATCAGGCTTGCAGGGATTCTGTGCAACTTCCACAATACAGCACACCATAACCTCAGCCTCCATCCACAACTAAAGACACCATGCGCAATGAACAATCACCGTGCAAGGAGGTAAGCCTGACATTGTCTTGGAGATGCGACGGCATTGCATTCTCATATCTTTTTGACAAATGTAGTGATTCATTTGACAAATTCAATTGACAAACGATTAAGGCTTCCATCTGTGTAGCCAACAGAGATCAGGAGCACACATCCGTCAACGGACTCACGTATGTGCATGTGTCACTGTTGTAGTCACGGTAGAAATGGCAAAAGACAGGCCAACGTTTTCAAAACACACACTCAGGTGGTCCACGCCATGGATTTGTACAGAGAAGCAATACTCTGCATTTTCACAAGTAGCTGTTGTAAGAAGGGAAATCCATAATCATGAGCCAAACCAAACACAGTTGGATTTGACCACAAGAAACACTCTGTCCATACAATCCACAGCTGTTTCCAAGCACAACAATATGCCCTCCATGGGATCTGCATTGCAGAACAAGCCAACAGGGTAAATGACATTCAGCAGGGCTTTGCGGTGCCCAATTCGCTGACAATTCGGCAAAGAACAAGTGCCCGATGGTCCAAAACCATGACATGTGCAGAACACACTATGTACCAGGACTCTGGATCATACATTGCTGCGTATAGAGCGCCTCAGAATACCTCACAGTGCGTCAAGAGCGCTGCAGCAAGGCCACCTTGGACATTGCCTGGTGGCAGTGGAGGCGGAATGTCCAGTCCACCACCACTGCATAATGACGAATTCTGGACTCCAAAGAATAGGGGTCTTTCAGATGGATCCCCATCGCCCCTGTAGTTCCTTCCCTGCATCCAACTTTGCAGCAGCATGTCAGAAACCTCCATGATGTGCACAACATGCCCAATGCCATGGGCAAATGCCTGCACAGTTAGGTGCAGCATTGAGTGCAAGTTGCCAGCATTCGCTACCAGAAGCCTGCAGTCACAATGCAAGCACTCCACTTGGCTGTCACAAACCTGCCATCTGTACAACCAAAGTTTCATAATCAAGTCTTGCGGGCCCATCACTGCATAAAGAGTGCAAGTGCGGGGATTCGTCAACATCTGACACAGGTAGCCAGAGCAACAGGATTGACAACTAGTGGTCATGAATGGTCAGCAGTAATTCCTGCACACCATCCACCACCAAGAATTTACCCATCACCTGCAGTGCACCAGCAACCAGAACGCTGTGTGGCTTGATATGGGACAGAACTGAATCGGTCCATGCCACTGCCCGCTCCTCCGCCACCTCATGCTGGCAAGCAACTACCAGCACATCTGCATCCAGCTGGTAGATGAATGCTGTCTTGTCGGCAAGGCAAGGTGCGATGGCATTCCCAGTCATTACAACTTCTGGAAGAACAACAGATCCAACGATCTGGCACCCAGCATGAGTAAGCAGTCAGCATAGGGAGTGCAATCTCCACACTACAGCATTTGAGGAATCTGCTATGGTCACGTTAACCTATGTGGACAATGTATGCAAAAATGTGCAGAGAAAATCGAGAGCCACACAAGTGGCACACCCTGAGAAACAGCTTATTGGCAGAAAAGGAGAGCTTTGTCATGTCTTGATAACTGCAATCCATGTAATTTTACACTCCACCATTGGAACATTGCAGGAATGCCATCTGCATGCATCGTAAAGTACACAGATGTGCAGAATAACCATCTTGGCATCCTGCCCATTTGCTTGTTGTACGTATTCAGAACTAGATTCACAAAAGTGGGCATGCCCCGGTCACTGACGTGCAAGTCGCAGACATATGAGGTAACATGATGCCTTTACATCCATGGGCAATCTGTCAGCAGAATGGACCTAATTCGCACTATTATGTGGACATGATTATTCCTTGATGTGAACTTGTAGCAATCTCCAAGCTGTCAGCCAGCAGTAGAGGTAGACATACACCTGTGTGCAGCACCTGCTGTAAACTTGGGGCGTTGCACGTGTCTGAGTTTTGGGCAGGATGCTCCACAGTTGAGGAAAAGTTTCTGGTTCAGATGCATCCAATTTGGACCATTCCAACAATGTCGATTTTGAGGATACAATCACTGTGGTGCAGCGATCATCAGAGTTTCCAGCTCAAGATAGCTGTCCATTCGTTGCACAAACAGGCAATGTGAGCCAGTCCTGAATATTCTGGAACAACCATTATGGTTGCGACAGTGCCCACAGTGCCCTGAGGGTGCAAGGGCCACGGTTTGACATCTCTCAGCAAGGCAATATTGCCCAACTAATTGTCCCTATGGTTCACATAAAAGAATATCAAGTCAAATCAATGTGTCATTGAATCATCAATGTGTCAAGCAGAACGAGATGTGGACAGGCACATCTGGTGCCTCAACTGATGCCACCATGAGTGGCTACAAAATGGACACAGTGGTGCTCATCATCGCCTCTGAGGTGCCTTCCTAGAGCTTTGTCCATTGCTACAACCAGCAGTTGAAACCTAAGCTTGCATGTTCTCACCTGGTCTTCCTTAGTCCACTGGGACAGCAGTGCACAGGACAGTGGGGTGCAGCCTACGACCTGAGCAGTACAACCAATGTCACAACAGGCTGGCTGCAACAGCCGGGAACCACGGCAGGGAGAGAACCTGGCAAATCGCTCAGACGAAAACTTTCTCTTGTTTGTTGTTCTCTGCATGTGTGTGCAAGCTGTGGTGGGTTGTCCAACTGTGTCAACGCCTTGTGTATAATTGGATCAATGGTGAGTGTTGGGTTACAAGTGGTTGACATGGACAGGTGTTCTGCACACAGGACATTTGCCGCCACTGGTGCCTCCAGTGTGGGCATGAGATGCAAGGTTGCGGACAGAATAAAGATTTAACCCATAGGAGACAGAACACCATCTGCAATCTGACCAACAACGACCACAGCCAGCAACACTGGCCAAGTCGCTCGAGTGGTGCTCTGTTGGTTTGAGATGGTGGAGAACTAGCTGGCTGTCGACTTGCTGTAAGGAACAGTGCCCCAGTGAGCTAAGGGAAACGATCTTGCCCGTTCGAATGTGCTGTGACACCCACGTGTGGGCACCTGGAGCACACATGGTGCCTGTCTGGAATCTGGAAGTACAATATGCACCAAGAGCAGGTGAAACCAACCACCCTACCTTGCTCTGACTGCTGCAGATCTTTCTTGATCTTGTGCTCTTCCCCATATGAACTGCACCCTACTTTCCCAGACATTCAGGACACGCCTGCCTCTATCCAAAGGGTACCTCATGGCAATCAAGACCTCTAGTGTTCCACAGAAAAGAGGCACGAGATAAATCGTGCCTACCCAATGCTTCTGCATGCAACAGCAATAGTTGTGCACACAACAGCAGGTTGCAATTAAGGACTAACCCACTTGACAGCAGAGGCAAGCAGTATGCACTGTGGAGAGCCTGATACATACCAGAAGCTTCACATCCACTGGTTCTTTCTTCTTCTTGGGTTGGATTGCTGAGGAGAGCTGCAACAGCACACACAGCCTTCAGGTGAAAGGCTGCAGTTTGCATCAAGGAATTTACTTGACATGTTCTGTGTCAAACAGAGCTTATGCCTCAATTTCCAGACAATGCAGTTTGGCTTCCTCGTGTCTAAGATGAGAATGCAAAAAGCAATCGAGCTGCAGGTCATGTTAGCAAAGCCAACAAGATTCTGGTCAGGTGGTGAGTCAATACCAGTGATATATGGGCTTTACAATGCTTGCCACATCCCCAATTCACACATGGACATACAGCAATGCTCAGCCATTCCAATTCTTGGTTCTCTGTTGGACCAGGCTGCCAAACTCCACTATCCCAACCCCAACCCCACCCACCCGCCCCTTTCGCTGTCTGGATATGTGGCAGCTACATTTGCAGCGTGAACAGCACTAAACAACCATTTTTGCGTCCCAAACTCCATACTGGAGGCTGTTCCAAGGATCAATCGCAACATTGGACTGTTGCGCCACTCTTGGATTCGCAGGTGCCCGACGGGACTGCCTTCTCCTTTGAAACAGCTGCCAGGCGAGTGATGGCCGCACATGCCCCTATTGGAGACGCCTCCATGGCAACCTGCACACTTTTAGCATGCAAAGAACATTCCCAATGCAATTGCAACGAAAGGCTCGCTTTCAACGGCGGCCAGTCACGGCATCTGTGTCCCCACCAGCACAATTGCCGGCTCTAGACATCGGTGGGCACGCCCTTCCGCAGCTTCTTCTTCCTCTTCCTCTATGGTGCGAGTTGGGTACTCGGCTGTGTGCACAACACAGAGCGGTTTTGCCGCAAGGTGAAGGGAACACCACAAAAGGGAACATTACACAACCCCAGCCTGGGTTCAAACGAGGATGGATATCCCCACAGGCACCGCGGATCGGCGCGGCGGTGCCCGTGCGCCTCGTTGTCGCGCACCCACACCTTGCATCAAATCGAAAGGCCAGCAGGGGGCTCACAAAAAGATCAGCCAAAGAACCAAGCGTTGCATCCCATTTGCCGATCGACTGCGGCACACAGTCTGCCCTTCGCGTCAACTTGTGCTGCCCGCCCCTTGCGATTGCACCAACATCCTTCAGCATCACTTCTGAAGTACCGACGCGTGACTTCCTGCACCGCCTAGCGCGCCAGTGTGCAAAAAAGCCTCACAGTAACAAGCCGCTCCCCGCAAGATTCGCCCCCAATGGCAGGTGTGTTTCTCGATACAAGGGGGACCTCACGGGCATTTGCGGCTGAGATTCAACCTGCGGCCATCAGTTCGTGCAAACAAATGGGCATTCGCTGCCACAAACAACACCTGACCCAAATGGACCAGCAGCCATCCTGAACACAGAAGCAGAACAAGAGCACAGAACAAAGAAGCGGTGCCACACCTTGAACTGAGGGACGATCAACCAGAAAGCGCACAGGGCGCAGAGCCATTCGCACCTGACAGAGGGCCCAAGTCCATTGGCAGGGTCCCGCCTGCGGAACAGCGCCAGCGCAGC